CTGAAACAAGGACTACAATGAAATGAAGATGTTGCCTCACAGGTTCCTTGAGACACGGATCACTTTTATCAGAGATCCTTGGGTGATTAGTAAAGTGCCGAAACTAATGCTACCAAAATAAAGTAATCCTCAGCTGGGGAATACCATGGTTACATTGCAAAGTAGAAAGTCAGCCTCTTTACAGATACTAATTATGTGAGCCTGGCAGTTGATGGTGGTGATGTGTCCTGTTCTACGTACTTTTAGGTACACAGTTCAGCCTATTGTGGATCTTGAAAGCTTAGTTCTAAGAATATTGGTTTATAGAGTTTCTGAATTGTCACTGAAATTTTAGGAGTGTGTTTGAAAAAAGAAAAAGCTTTTATTGAACAATATCTTTCACCTTAACTGGCATTTTCTGTGGAGTGAGGTACTCTTCAGTGTAAGAAATGCTAATAATCTGGTCAATATTTGTGTACAAAAATATAGCTGGGGGTCTTTTATGCCAAACCTTACGACATTTTCACTTGAAAGATTAAATGTTATAACCTGTATTTCAAGCAGGATTTAAATGAAAGCAAAGAAAAAACAAACTCCTGGTAGCATAGGAACTCTTCTTTCATTTGCACATCTACCCATGCTATAGATTCAATCTGACTTAAAGGAGCAGTTTCCAGAGTACTCGCAGTTTTGTGTGCCAGCCACCACAGATCTGCGAGGCCTTAGACTTGGAAGGCACATGCTCGTCTTGAATATATGCACCAAAGATAGCACACTGCTAAGAGTCAAAACAAGATAGAATAGGTGTATTTGAAATTTACTTTAAGTTAAAGATTTTCAGTCCTTGTTTATAGACATGAAAAAGAATTGGATCAAAACCCCTGTATTTAAAAGGTTGTAGTCAGAAGTAATTAATGTTTAAAGTGACTGTATAACCATACACAGCCAACCTACATAAATGCAGATCCTCAAGAGGTTTGTGATTAGTAGTTAGTCTTACTTCCTGCCTAATGTATTGGTACCTTGAGATGTTATAAACACTACGTACTGCTAGGAATTGTTCACAGTGTGAAGAATTCATTGCAGTAACTGATTTTTCTAGTCAAAGTTTTAGCACAAAATCGCATGTTTCCACTTCTAGAGGAAGTTATCCCTCTGTCAGGCTAAATACTGATAACCCCCCACCTCTGCCTCCTACTGCTCCTTCCACCTGTAACGCTGTCGTGGCAAGCCCCTGCTGAAAAGGACAGGGTGGGACATCGCAGGTCACAGCAGCTCCTTGGTCTGCAAGGGGAATTATTACTCCGTTACGTGAGATGAATTGCATCTTTCCAGCTAGAGTCTGAGTGAAGGAATGTAACGCTAAGAGGTGTATTAGTTCGCTGCACCACTGCTTGGGCTGCCCTGGCTCAGCGAATTTGGGGCTGAATAATGCATGGGTCATCAGGGGATCAATTTTGCAGGCTCCTGCATTTGCCCCTCTGTCTGAATGGGCCTGGACACCCCAGTCCTTGGGGGTGTACCAGATGCACTGGGCTGGAGAATGTGCAAAGCTCACTCAAAGACTTCCAGAGCTGCCGCCTTAAAACGTTTGGCCCTGTGGGCTCCCAAGGACTGTCAGTGTGGAGCAGCTTCTCTGAAAAGTGCGATTCTCTGCACCTGTTCTTCATATTTAAAAGGCGTTCTTATGTTGAAGTGCACTGTGGAATGCAAACCTGGACTTCTCTAACCCTGAGGGTTTTCAGCCTGGCCGTGTAGGTTGTCCTGCTCTTCTCTATCTCCGACAAGGCTTTGATTTGTTTCCTTTTTGCTAATTCCAGACGCCCTTCTCCTCCCTCTTTTGCAGGACCCTCGTACTCTCTGTGCGCCCTAGCCCCGCAGCTGGTGCGGGCTCACCCTCTAGTCCTTGGGCCAACGCCACGCCAGCTCACGCGGGATGGCATATCCTCAGCTGGCTGCAAAAAGAGAGCGGGGAAGGAGCTGGGCCCGGGGATAGGGCAGAACAAATGCAAGTACCATGCGGGAATGACTTTTCCTATGCTGTTACGCTGGTTTCTACGTGTAACAAAAAATACCTCTTTCTTTCTGGCCTGCCGTTTTCCCTCTTGTTCCTTTCCTCCTTCCCCTGGCTTCAGGCTATCTTTCTTCATGGCCTCTCTGAAGCCACTGTGCTTAAAAGACAAGGTAATTTGTTTTTCACCCATGTGCCAGACTTGGATAGCTTTAGGAAAAACCTAATTCTCTCAGGTCTGTGGGTTCACCGGCTATTTAAAATAATGACTCCAGATTTGATTGCTCTTTCCTTAAACTGCTGAAGGTTCTGTCAGTTTGCATCCAAGAGGACTATGGGCAGGGACCCTGGAAAAGTTGGGAAGGAGCGGTGCAGCTTCTGCTCGGGGTCCTGCCTGAGCTCCCCCAGCCCGGCTCGCTGCTCCATTCGGAAGCACAGGGAGCCCTTGCACTGGCCTTGTGTTGGCTTGGGTGATGGGGACCAACGTCCGTCAGAAGCAACTTCTACGCACAAGAGTTGTAAGCAGAAAACTTCATGAACAGACTCCCGACACAGCCTGACCCTTCTCTTGTTGGAGTTAATAACTAAACTCCCGTTTCCTTCAGCGGGGCAGTATGGGCTTTTTCATCTACATAGTGCTGAAGGAGTACTGAGGTAAGGACTGCTGCATGCCTGACAGCTGCAAAACTAGGGTGCTAGGAAAATAGAGCTTTATGGTTGTTTACTCTTGTCATAGCAAATTCTTTCTTTTTGAGTACATTCCTCAGCTCATTCTCCTGGGCTCTGCAGCCCGTTATTGCAAATGTGGCAAGAGCCTGCATACTAAAAGCAGAGGCCAAGGCATGCTCAGTAGAGTATTACAAGTATCATATTGCATTTGCGCACACATGCTTATCATGTAAATGTATATTTGTTTGCATCTTCTAAGAGAGTAATTCATTACATGAGTGCGGATATACCATAGGTGATCTTGTTTGTATTTTTTACTAAAGGCAGGACCACATACCGAGGTCCTTTCTCAGTCGTTACTCAGGAAAAACAGCTTTAACATTATAGTGCTTACATATACGCAAAACCATAATACATTGCACAGAGTTTTTCTTTCAGCTCAAAAGTTATAATACTTTCATTGTCATGAGACACTACAAAAAATGTACAACTGAAGCACTTCATAAATAAATTCTATCAGAAACTTTCAGACATGCATCTTCAAGTCCACTGTAAGAGACTTAACCTCCTCATTCTCAACTGAAAAAGAGGATTTTGTTTCCAGCCCAGAATTCATTAAACACTTTGTCAAATCTCTGTTCTTTCACATTTGCTACTTCTTCCCCAGTTATTTCCAGAATTTTAGAACTTTTCTGCATTTCTAGTAACTCAAGATCACCATTCCAAACTCAAGGAATCTACAAAGTTGTGCTTGGACAACAGTTGTCACTAACCAAACTGAGTCACTAGGTTCAGAGAAGGAATTTGGGCTTGTCCAATAAAACCATATAAGACCATGGCCAGTGTTTTGGGTTGTTAAAATAAGAACCATAAAGTATTTAAAGGATAGTAAAAAGTTCAGCTTTTACCTATCACTTTGATAATACCTGGGGACTTTATTAGACAGGATTTGATTTTTTTATTATTATTATTTTTTTAAAAAGGGCTAGAATGCTTTCTTCTTTCTTTTTCTTTCTTAACAACATACACAAAAGCAATATCCCCCAAAGCAGACTTGCACTCGGACATGAGATGGAAAACTTATGTTTATAAAAGCCATCTCCTTTTGCTTAAAGCAGAGAGATGTGCTGAGAAACTGGTACAGTATGACAACATTTTAAACACAGAGGAGACAAGATTTATCTGGCTGGTATACAATATAAAACAAAAATCGAACACCAATGTTACAGCATTATATTGAAACAAACCACAGTAATTAGATGCTTTGAAGTCAAGCCTATATTTTCTTCAGCTTTTTCATGAATTATTGATCCACTTTCCTCATTAAATGGAATGGCAGGCTCTTGCAGTAAATGGACAAGTGACTACAACATTTATATAATCAAATATCCTCTGCAACTGGCAATAAAACATGCTTGTGTGTAAAACATCTTTTCTGAATTGACATCCCTGCAAAACAGATTTACTAGAATAACCACATTCCTTTTCTTTTGTCTCTAAAACACATCTTCCCTCACATCATCATGCAATCCAGTATTTTACACTGATCGTATTAAGCAGAATATTTTCCAAGAGCCTGTATCGTCCATTGTGCAACAGAACATTTCTTCCCTATAACGAGATGTAAATAAACTGTCTCACTTACCTTATTTTCTCCATCTCTGCCGCAGAGGCCTACAAGAAATCAAATAATAGGAGCAAGTGAATGAAAGAAAACATTCACTCTGCAGATTTATGCATAGTTAAGGCTTTCCAAATGGTTTTCGACAAGTGTCTACAAAGCGACGGTAAGCGAACCCCACATCTGCATTAGCCAAAAATAACATTGACAGATGAACTGGGGAATAATGCAGCGCGCTGCAGGAGCACTGTATACCCACGAGCCATGGGCAACAGAATGACTCAGTTGTAGCGCTGAGGCAGAAAATGGGGAGGGAAAAAAAAAAAGCAAGCAGCAGCAAGTAACAGGTTACTGTGCCTCCTGGGTTTCAGAGGAAAAGTTGAAATGCGGTGCTACTCTCCGCTCGGTGGGCATGGCAGCAGTGCTCTGCTGGCTGGGGAATGACAGTGACTTCATCACACGTGAATTTTGAGTTCAATTCGTCATCTTTCACAGAGCCCGACAGATGGAAGGGACACAAGCTCGTCGCCTTAGTGGGAGTTTCGAGTAATCAAATTACTTTCCTCAAGTAATACACTATCTTGACAATTAGCATCTGAATACATGGAGGCTTTTCGTTAACCCTTTCACTGCTGCTCGCCTGGGCTGTAGCTCGCAACTCCGGTAACTCCTCAGGTCCCTCTGCCTGCCGCTGCAGCCAGGCTCCCGTTAACCCTTTACCTGCGGCTCGGCACCCCTATAGCCCTGAATCCCGACATCCCGGCAGAGCCGTAGGTGGTCATTTCATTAACCTGTCTGGTTTCTTTTTACCATATAGGTGCTGTAAATCCCTACTTATCTAGAGCACGGAGACTCATTAATCTCTCTGACTTTACTTATATCAAAAACGTAGTCTTGTTAACTCTTTGGTTTCTTTTTCAGCATTATCTCACGCAGATCCTTAATAGCTGCTTCCATTTCATTTTATCACACCGCTGGCACAGAATCTCATCAATCCTCCTGGTCTTGCTTTACTGTAACTAAGGAATGAGCACTCGGAGCAATCCTGCAATCTCTAGAGCCAGATAAATCGCAGCATCACAGAATCTCTTATTTATACTGAAGGCATTGCCCATTAATCATGAACACTTTAAACCTTATTGATTAATGGCTAACAATCATATTTGAGTATGAAATAAATTAAAGATTAAAAATAGGGAAATGTAAATTTAATCAGTTAACCAGAAGGAAATTTGTCAAACTGCCTAATAAAACATCCCAAGTGACAAATTGTTGGTTCTTCATTGGGTCACTCATCTTCCCTTCTTCTCATTTACTTTTGATTTGTCCATTAGATAAGTTGTCAGTCAGGCTGGTGTTTGCGTGATACTTTCTGATGATTTACGTTAAGGATTTGGGGCATTCACCATAACTTGGTACACAAGAAGCCAGCTGCAGGAAAAGCCCTCCTCAGCTTCCCTGTAACAGATATAATACACGTCTTATGTGGTCCCTGCATGTCTCTTGGAAGCACAGGGTTGCCCACGACAAATCCCAGATTTTGAGATTAAAAATCTAATTTAGGGACCCATAATTCCTTTCTCTGATTTATATCTATCCATTGAATCCATGTGTATTCTGTAGTACACAGGAAATAGTTTAAACATTGCTGACCAGAAAATGAGCCGCAGGGGCTTTCTCCCTGGGCATGGGAAGGTACTGGCAGCGCTGTGGTCTTGCCAGTTTGGTTTTGCAGACATGAACTCTCAAAAACTGCCCTAATTATCATGTTCCTGTCATTTTGGGGAGACGACATCGTTTTCTCCAGGGCCGCTCACTATTGCTTTCCCTTGAACTGTGGGAGTCACCCATGAAGACGGAGTACTTGGAATATGTGACTTCAGTCCTTCAGTTATGGCAATATCTACAGTCATAAAGGGAGGCTGCCTGGCCTTGCTTTTGCCTAGTACTTTGAATATTTCTGTACTCACGGGGTCGGGGCGGGGGTTGTTTTGTGTGATTAAAGCGCAGGATGGAGAAGCGGAGCTGTAGGCTGGCTTTCTGGCTATACTCATCTGTGAATGCAGGTGAGTCACTGGCTGCCAATCCCGACAGGAAATTAGTGGGGAAAAAAAGCACGGCAAATGCCTGACACCAAAACAAACCAGAAAACTAAACCAAGCTGCAATTACTTCTGTATGAGCTATTCACCACCACCTTTTTACGGTAGGGCTTTTTTTTTTTTACCTCCTCACAGTAAAAGCTGCTTGTTTTGTCTAACATGGCCAATTTTCCTTTGGACCATTGGGGATGTTCTCCTCTGCCTTTCCCTGGCAGCCTGTGCAGAGAAGAGAGGGCTCCTCTCTGATGTGGGAGCAGTGGGTTCAGCTCAATCCTCCTCGAGGAAGATGCTCTGACCGAGGTCAGAGCCCTTTCTGGGCTGCAGCACTGCAAGGCTCTGTTACTTCTTTTGATGGAGATCCACTTCTAGTAAATAAATACGAGCACACGAAAGGACTAGAGCCTGCATGTTTTTCAAGGGAATGCCCTAGCTTTCAGGCTAGAGAGTCAAACGAGCATATAGGAACTTGAGATGGTGAAAACAAAGATAGGAGCATCTGTAGAAATGTAGCCTTCATCTCAAGCAGTTTATTTTTTCAGATAATTGTGTTCTTTAGGAAGGTCCTTTTTTCATCCTTTTCTCATCCTTTTCTTTTTCCTCTCTTCTTTTTTATTTTTTCTTCATTTCTTTTTTTCCCTCAAAAAAGCCTTAGCAACTCAAAATTATTTTAAAAGTCTGTGGTTTTCTGAAACAGCTCTGTTTTCACAAGGTGACATTTTTACGAAGGCAAAGTTGCTGTTTCCTAGCCAGATCCCTGCCATTGATATAGCCTGTGGAAGTTTAGAGGTTACATCATCCTCCCACTGCTCTCTATGAAGGCTTCTATCTGAAATATCCTACTGAACTGATTTTGAAATATATTCTAAACAGCTCTGAATTGGCCATTTTTTTCGGAGCAATCTTGTCCTGAAAGTCTTGTGGGACCTATTTCAAGCAGAAAGACTGAAGTAAAGGTTGGTATAAGAATGTCCTTATGGTATGTCATTCATTAGTTGCTGCTTGATAGTGGGTTGATTCATTTCAAGTGCTTCTTGATGCCTGAACTGAGCAGTGTGATTGAAGCTGTGTGATTTTTTTTTTAAATAAAATATTTTTAATTAAGATCGGTAATTACCTTTAATTACAGAAATATCAGATGTGATTGAATTACCTGTTTTTTTTAAACAATATCAATGCAATGTGACTAAAGAATTTATTTAATCAGCCTAAAAATAACAAATTTTGTTTTTAACAAAAAGGTTGGCCTCAGCAATTTCCATATTACTTCCATATTCCACATTCCACAATTCCATATACAGTCTCCTACTTAAAATACTGAGACTGATTTGAAGATTTTCCTTTTTATAGAAGTACTTGGTATGGCAACTTTGCCTGGAAGCACTTTCAGGCAATGCCTAAGAGTACTGGTAGAAACTTGACTTGTTTCTAAGTATTTGAAGAAAGCAAGTGTAAAACACAGAACAACTGTCAAGACTCTCTTTTCTGGAAGTGCTGAGCATTTAAAAGTCCATTTTGGAGCAGATATTCAAAAGGCAAATCAGTTGTCTTTTTTTTTTTTTAAATCCCCTCCTGCTTATTCTAGATTGCAACTTGATATTCTTTGATATTCTTTGAGAACAAAGTCATTTGCTGGCTTGAATGAAAGCAGGGATGCTGTTAATGGAAACCCCAGGAAATTTTACTGTGGCTTTTTTTCCCTTTAGAATATGGTTGCTATTTTTCAGACAGCATGACAACCTCTGAGTTGTTTTCAAGTCAGCAGAGTGAATGAAAAATACTGTGATGCCCTAACTTTTTATCTCCCCATGTTTGTTTAATGAGTCAAGACAATGGCAGAACATTCTTAGTCATTGACATACATAAAACTTAATATAGTGATCCAATTCTTTGATTTTTTGTTATATGATTGGTGTCTGTAGTGTTGATTATTGAACCAAAACCTTTTAAAATAAAATAAAAGTCATGCTGATAGTCTATCTATCATTCTGTTCAATTCACGTGGTGACTGTATTGGTAAAATCCTGTGTTTATGTTTTATTTCCTTTATTGTATTATCACTTTCTGAAGGACAAGTAATCATGAGATTTCAGATCTTCCAGCTGTCTAATGAAATTTCCTTCATCTAAGATCTTGAGGTCAATTTTCATCCTTCTGCATCTTCCCGATGTATGTGTGAAAAAGGTGGAATAGCCTGGATGTGACATCTTTTTATTTAATTATTATTATTTTTTGTTTTCTTGGAAAGAGATGTTTCATTTTAGAGGGAGGTACAGGATCCAGAGGCTGGCTCAGTGCTCACCAGTCTTCCCATTGAGTTCAGTGGACTTTGGATTGGCATGTTGGCTAGCTGTTATCAAATGTATGAGAAAAGAAAAAATAGTAGGAAGTTACTGCGGCTCATTTAGTCTGCCTGTTATTACTCTGACTTGTTTAGTATTGTGAGACTTGCTTTTACTTCTGTGGTGAGGAAAGCTGTAAACGAGAGTTCACTCACAACTAAACTCATCTAGACTTCTGGTACATTTGTAAACTGTCACATGTTTTCAATCACAACCATTTCATTTCAGCATTTCTTTTGTGCTTGCAGTTGTACTAAAGTTTTATTGGTAGGAACCACTGTGGCCATCTTCCTTTTTTTTCCCCTATAGAGTACAAAAGTAAAATATTTGATTTAATAAAATTTACAGACTACATAATTTGATAGGATCAATCTTTAATTAGACTCTTAATCAACTTTTAGAGATTTCTTTGTATAGGCTTTAAAGCACCACTGAAGTGACACCTGAAGAAAGACTAAAATTTAATCTATAGAGACTTCAATAGAGCTGGAGGAAGTGTCCAGCTGCATTTGATTTGGCTTCATGTTTTGAGTGTATCTAATAGATGTTTTCGAAAGAAGAAGAATCTTTCTGTAAAACTCTTGCCTGAAATTGTCATGGAGATACAAAGAAAATTGAGTCCAGTTCTCCACGGTTGCCACTGTAATAGACATTTTGTTCAGAAAGCACGTCCTCCAAGCATACCTCCACACCACAGGCCATAAAACACCTCCACTATTCTCAGACCATCTGAAGACAGTTAATATATAAAAGGTGAAGAAGCTTAATGCTGAGGGAAGAAGGCAGAAGAGGTCAAGACTAAGATCCTATATCCCTGAAATACTAAGGAACTTGTTGGAACCATTGGCCATTTTCCCCTGGAAAAAGGAACATCACACATACTAGAAAAAATGGGAGGGTTTCATCAAGCTGTGGGGTTTTTGCATGTCTGGCCTGAGGAAAAGCACCTGTCAACCAGTTTAGACATAAGTAACCGTGAGTAAGATATACCAAATCTCTCAACACCACCAAGAGTAGCATTGCACTTTCCCAGCATTTACTCCTCATCTGGGACCAAATTCTCATGTTTCTTAGGGTGAAAGAAGAAATCCTCCGCAGCAAAATTAGGTGGCAAATAGAAGCTCAGATGTTTGGGACTAACTGCATACAACAAAGATATGACATAAATGGACCCAACTCAGTAAAGAAATAGATAAATTGTCTTTTTAATTCTTAGAGCAGATGACTAAGTTCAACACCCCAAATTTTCACATCACACCTGAATGTGCATCTCCAGAACACCACTAATCTGTCATGCAATGTCCATAAGGTGGCTGGG